TGGCCCTTGGTGGCCCCAGGAGCCGGGAGCAGAAGCCGTGCTGTTCCAGACAGGAGCAGCACGTGTGGCTGATCCATCTATGCATCCCCCCTCCAGGGGGGTGGCGGCTATAGGGCTCGGATTTCTCCTCTCACCTGCCGCTGAATCAAAGGCCATTTGGATTTAATCTCCGGGAGAGGCAGGTTTAACCCTTTCGGGTGCAGCTTGTCCCCACACGGGGCAGGACCTGCCTCGCTGACCCTGTCCCCTCCTCTGCCTCACACAGCCCAGGCTGGCCCTTTGCTGTCCCACAGCAGGCAGCAGCTTCTCCTCCCTATCCTGTTTCATCTGGGCTCCCTTCCAGGGCTCAATCCACCTGGGAGAAGCCAGGATCCACCCCACGAGGCTGCTGCTTGGCCACTGCCTGCGGAGAGGGGCAGCAGCTGGGGCACAGCTGGCAGTGCAGGAGGGGCTCCCAGTGCTCCCACTTCCTTCCCAGCTCCTCAGCTGGGACACCCAGCTGGAAACACAGCCAGGCTCACATCCACCATTAATTTATGGCTGGTGAGGGGCTGGGAACACAAACCCTGTGAGGAATGACTGAAGGAGCTGGGGGGGCTCAGCCTGGAGAAAAGGAGACTCAGGGGTGCCCTCATCACTCTCACAGCTCCTGAAAGGTGCCTGTGCTCAGCTGGGGCTGGGCTCTTTCTCCAGGCAGTGCTGACAGAACCAGAGCACACAGCCTCAAGCTGCACCAAGGGAAATACAGGTTGGATAGCAGGAAAAAGTTTTTCACAGAAAGGGTGATGAAGTTCTGGCATGGCTGCCCGGGGAGGGGGTGCAGTCACCATCCCTGGGTGTGTTTAACAAAGCCTGGATGTGGCACTGGGGGCCAGGGTTCAGTTGAGGTGTTGGGGCTGGGTTGGACTCGATGATCTTGGAGGTCTCTTCCAACCCAGTGATTCTGTGAATTCTCTGAATTCTGTGATTTATCCAAGGGGAGAAGCAGAGGCAGGGGCATGACTGGGTAGGGTGGGATCATCCACACAGGCTGTGCTCACTGCATGTCCTGCTGTGGGTGCAAAGGCTGCTGAGGCTCTGGGTGCCCATTGCAGGACTCAGCTCCAGAAGCTGCTCAGGCTCCTGGGAATGCCCCACGGTGCTGCAGCCTGCTCACCAGCACTCACAGTGATGCCTCACTGCCTGTGAGCAATGGGCCAGCCCCAGGGCTCTGTCACCCGTGTGTGACCAGCGCTGCTGATCCGGGGCACCGTGTCCAGGGCTGGAGCAGTGCCCAGCACCAGCAGCTCCGGTGCTGAGAACACCAGAGCTGCTGAGCCAGGACAGCCAGGCTCTGAGGCAGGAGCTCCCCAGAGCACATCCAGGCCCAGCACGGGCTGTTCCTGAAGGTGCAAATTGCCTTTCTCCCGTCTGGGAGCAGCTGCGGAGCTGGGGAGCACTTGGCCATGGGAAGGGCTGCTGTGCTCTGCTGGATTTCCCCTCACTCAATCCCTTTCAGGCACCAGACATAAGCTGAAAAGCGAGGCAAAAAAATGAATGTTTGTAAAAGATTTCACAAACTTTGTCAGGACACCAGGATGTTTTTGGGGTGAGCTTCACTCACACCCCTCCAGCAGTGGAGCTCTGAGGGCTGGTTCAGGGACAGAAGAGGCACCACCCTGTTCCACATCCACACTGTTCCACATTCCCACTGGCAAACAGCCTGAGAGGGGAGCAGATCCCAGGCTTTCCCCTGTGCTGAGTGCTGCTGGCTTTTCCCAGGAGCAGGGGCTCAGCCCCTTCCTCTGTCCCCGTGCTCCCTGGCCCTGCAGCAGCTCACAGTGGGAAGCAGCAGCCCACACACCATTTCCCAGCATTCTGACCCAAACTGCCCTCTCCTGACTGCCAAAGGCTGCCCAGCCCATGGGGGCTTCACTCAGGCAGGAACCATCCAGTCTCCCATCCTTTGGCTCAGGCAGGGACCACCCAGCATCCCAGGCTTGGCTGATGGCTCTGCCTGAGCCCTGGCACTGACTGGGACCCTGGAGACCACCCCTCTCCTCCCACGGGGTACCCCCCTGCTCTGTCAGCCCTGCAGAGGGTTGGCTTTGGGGTAAGGATGGCCACAAACATCTCCAGGCTTGCTCCAGACCTGCCTGTGAACATTGGGGGTGTGACTCCCCCCGCCCCAAACCCAGCCCTGCTCCATCCCAGCTCCTGCCCAGCGTTGCTGTCATCCCTCCATCCTTCCCCCCCTGCCTGCCCTCCTCCCTGCCCTGCCCAGAGCTCCTTTCCCTCCCTGCTCCCTTGCAGGCAGGTTTCTGCCTCCCTCCCTCATTCCTCTGTCCCCGGGGTGTCACCTCTCCCCTGGGGACAGCGCAGGGCACGCTCTGGCTCAGCACTGGCAGAGGCTTTGCCCTGCCACGCTCCGGTTCCTGTGGGTGCAGTTTGTGCCCTGGCTGCAGGATCCAAACTCCACCTGCATTGCAAAACCCCAGAGATGGATCCTGGGCACTGCCACGAGCCATCCCAGCCCCCCTGGGCAGGACACAGGGCTTTTCTGTAGGGCACATCCATCACTGTCCCCATCTCCAAGTGCCCATAAAGGCCCCGTGAGTCTTTCCCTGGGGGAAACACAGACTGAAATAATTTTTTGGGGGGATAATATCTGACCCAAGCTGGTCAACCTTGAAAAATTCGGAATTTAGGGACATTAGTGTGAGCACAAAGGGCTGCAGTGGAAAACAAGTCACTGTGTTCATCCTTCCCTGCTCAGTCCCCCGTGCTTTGCTTTCCCTGCTGTCAGGGGCCATAAGCTCACAGGGAACAGCTATCCATGCAAAAGGCCTTTGGAAATATTCATTGCTCATCTCCTAACAAGATTACCCTGAAATCCTCCATTGCTCTGAGGGAGATTTAAAACCTCTCAGGCTCTCGGTAACCATAGCAGCACAGATGTGAGAACTGAGGGGAGACAAGTGATGTGAGAAACCACGGGGGCTGCAGAGCCTGGCTCTGTGTGACTCTGGCTGTGACTCCACAGTGCCACAGCTCTTTGTGCCACAGCCCAGGCTGCCCCCTCACCCTGCCCACACCTGGCAGGACACTTCCACCTCTGCAGGAGTGACCCAGAGCAAGGACAGTGGCTGTGATGTGACCCAGTCCTGGCTCCCACAGCACCAGGCTGCCCTTCCCAGGCCCAGCTCTGGAAGCCCTCCATGGATGGCATTGCTGCCTGGCATTGCATGGATGTCCATGCTGGCTCCTTCCCTGGGTGCCAGCAATGAAGGGGATGGTTTAGAGCCAGGATGGGCTGCTTGGAGCCTGGGGTTCCCATTCCCTCCTGCCAGGGGTTCCTTCTTCACCCTGGGCATCATTTCTGCACCTGTCAGAGAGATGCTGGGTGTTGTGAGATTGAAGAGATCCATGTTTTGAGGCCCTTTGGAATGAAGTGCTGGGAAAATGAGCAGCAGCAAGGGCACCACAGCCCCCCAGCACATCCTGAGAGCCTGCAGAGATCTGCTCTAGCAGCTGGGAGGGACTGTGGGAAACCCTTTCCATCTCTCCTGAAAACCAAACACAAAGAGGCATTAACCAAATTCTTTCCTATTAAAAAAATTAGGGGCTTGGCTTTAAACAGCTTCCAAGGGCTGGCTTGAAATTACTTGTCCTGCCTTGCTGCCTTCAGTTCCTCATTTACCCTGGTGCCAATGTCACACTACCCCTTGTCCTGGCTTTTAGCCTGCCATCAAATCTTCTGCATCCCCAGCTCCCTCCAGCTCAGTCCGTGACATCTGGGATCTCCTCATGGCTCAGGAAGTGTCCCCAGGGAGAGCTTCATGGTGGTGAGGGAAGGTGCATCACCAGGGGATGCTGTGGGGCACTGGACACCAATCCCACTGTCAGTCTTGCTGGGGACCCAACCCTTCCCTTCTCCCAGGGCATGCTGACACCATCATTCTGCTCATCTTGATATAATCTCTTGGCTCTCCTGATAATAAGATTAGCTGGGAAAGCTCCTAACATGGCTGAAATGCACAATAACTGGAGAATTAAAAGGCAGGACTAATTCCAGTGAAAAGGGTTTTGGAATCAACAGAAGAAATTCACCCAGAACTAAATTCTGGAACTGGTACTTCGCTATGAAAGGAAAACCTGTGTTAAAGCTCCAAAAAAACCCACACATCCACAAATTTAAGTTAGAAACTTATTTGAACTTCCGTGCAAGTTCCCTTTGTGTTTGCACTTTGCATGAATCAGCTCCTGAGACAGCTCCAGCATGGGATGGAAGGCGAGTGCTGAGCAAACACACCTGGCTGGGGCAGCCTGCACCTCTAGAGCAACCCCACTGCTGGGTCAGGGCCGTGGCTGCCCGGCATCTGCTCCCGGAGAGCGCCGTGCATCCTCTTCATGGAGATTAATTTCCCCCTCCGGTTAAATATTTCACAAAAATCACCGGTAACTGACAGCTGAATGAGGAGGTTATGACAGACGGGAGAGCTTATTTTCCCCCTCCAGCCAAAGATTTCATCGCTTCACTGGAGACATGGGCACGTTCACAGCAACCCCGTCTGCAAACGAGTGCCCGGCCCCGGGCAGGCGCAGGAAGCGCTGCAGGTGCCACCGTCCGGCCCCTGCCCAGGGCTGGGGATGGCCACCGAGTGTCCCCCTGGCAGCCAGCCCAGGCCAGGCAGCTCTCATGGCTCTGCGGGGAGCTGGCCGTGCTGCTCGGCCGCGGTGCAGCGCTGCTGCTGCGCTCCAGGGCTGGAGCGGCTTTCCAGGACTGAACTCTGCGGATTGGCCCGGAGCACCCCGCTCTCCTCCCTCCCTGCCCTCCCTCCTCCGGCACCCACGAGCCACGGAGATTGGACAGTTTGGTGCCACATGGCAGAGAGGAGCTAGGATAAAAAAATGAGCCGGGCTCGGGGATTGTAGAGTCCGCGGCAAAGCAGGCGGGAGAAGTTCGCGGAGCGCTGGCACCAACGTTCCCCGGCTGCGCTGAGTCAGGGCAGGGAGGACGGACAGACGGACACACCGGGGCTGCAGCCACCCAGGGACACCTGCGGGGTGAGCACCAGCTGCGGAGCATCCTGTCCCCTCCGTGCCAGCCATGTCCCTGGCGGTGAAGGAGAAGAACCACGTCCGCTTGGTTTTCCTGGGAGCTGCCGGCGTGGGCAAGACCTCGCTGATCCGCCGCTTCCTGCTGGACACCTTCGAGCCCAAGCACCGGCGCACGGTGGAGGAGCTGCACAGCAAGGAGTACGAGGTGTGCGGGGCCACGGTCACCGTGGAGATCCTGGACACCAGCGGCAGCTACTCCTTCCCGGCCATGAGGAAGCTCTCCATCCAGAACAGCGACGCCTTCGCCCTGGTCTACGCCGTGGATGACGCCGAGTCCTTCGAGAGCGTCAAGAGCCTGCGGGAGGAGATCCTGGAGGTGAAGGAGGACAAGTTCCCTCCCATCGTGGTGGTCGGCAACAAGGCGGAGAGCGGCGGCGAGCGGCGGGTGCCGGTGGAGGACGCGCTGTCGCTGGTGGAGCTGGACTGGAACAGCCGCTTCGTGGAGACGTCGGCCAAGGACAACGAGAACGTCCTGGAGGTGTTCAGGGAGCTGCTGCAGCAGGCCAACCTGCCCAGCAGGCTCAGCCCCGCGCTCTGCAAGAGGAGGGAGACGCTGCCCAAGGAGCAGGCGCTCAGGCCGCCCATGAACAAGACCAACAGCTGCTCCGTGTGCTGAGCCCGGGGCAGGCCCGGCTGGAAACTCAGGTGGGCTGGGTGGGAGAGGCACTGCCCCGGCCAAAACCTCCCCTGCTGCCTCCCACCCCTTCCCTCCTCTTCCCCACCCAGCCCAGAGGAGCAGAGAGGGTGGGAGGTGACCAGAAGGTGCTGGATGGGTGTGGGGAATTCCAAAAAAAGCAGGAGGCTCACCTGGGGAGCAGCCGTGGGTCAGCCAGGGCTCTGAGGGGGAGTGCAGGCACGGGCAGGGGGCTCTGGCAGATGTGGGCACCTGCAGCTGCATCAGCCCTGCCAGCACCGCTGTCCCAGGGCACTCAGGTCCGGTGTCACCTCGTCCCCAACACCTCCAACCTCCTGGCATGGCTCTGGCACCCACAGCACATCCGAGCAGTCCTGAGTCTGTACCTGGTGTAGAGCACGTGTTAGGGTGGTCATCAGTTTGGTTTTCTCTATTCTCTTTCTGTCTGTCTTTTTTGTTGTTGTTGTTTTGTTTTGGGTTTTTGGGGTTTTTTTTTGTTTTTTTTGGGTTTTTTTTTTAAGCATTCCAAATAAATAAATTGTTGCAAAGTGGAGCTGGAAAATGTCTCGGTTTCTTTCTCCTGCATTTCAGGTGCTGCAGTGCCTGCTATCAGTGTTTTAGGCTCTTATCACTGCATTTTGCCTTCCCTCCTCTGTGCTCCAGCCTCATGTGGAGTATTCTGGCACTGGAGGAGCCTCCCCTGGCAGTGCCAGGACATTCAGAGTTATGATTTTTCTAATAATTTACCCACACTGAAGTTTTTACCGAGCAGCAGAAACCAACAATAAAACACCTTCTCACCTCTGAGCACAGAAAATAACACCCAGCCATTAAAAGCCAGCTGATCCACTGAAATAAAAACACAAACATGTTAAAAGGAGATAATAAAGTGCACAAGGGGAGGCACGGAAGAGCTGTGTTTGCTGTGCTGAGTGTGCCCTGAACTGATTTACTCTCCCTTCACACAGCCCAGCCCGGCTGTAATGAGCACTTAACCTGCTCAGCAGCCCCACACACACACCAGAAACAGAGATGCCAAAGCCTGGTGGATTAAAGAGTCACCCCCAGCTCCAGACCCAAGGGGGCTGGGCACTTTGGGGTCTGCAGCTTTCAGAAGCCCAGCCCTACAGGATGGTGGGCCCCTGATCAGCTGGGGAGGCAGCTGGGGATTCCAGCCCTTTCCCAGGGGAGCAGCAGGGAGAGCCCAGCCTCCCAGTGGGCATCACCTGCTGGGACACCCTGCTGCCACCTCTCCCGTGGGCGCTGGGGCCAGGACAGCGACCTCCAGACAGGCAAAACCCTCCTCCTGGGTCTGGTGTGGGGCAGGGCTGGGGACAGGCAGCAGAGGGGACAGGCAGGTGCCACCAGGAGCTGCTGTGGTGGCTCAGGTTGCCCTCACCCTGCCCAGGTGTGTGGCTGTCCCTCGCCCAGCGCCTCGGGGACACGCAGAGCTGCCCAGGATGGAGCCTCTCCTGGGGAAAGGGAATTCCCTGCAGGAAAGGACCAGGAACAGCTCACCTGGGGCAGCTGAGCCCACGTGGTGCCCACAGAGGGGCTGGGGATGCAGGCACAGGGATGTGCCCACCAGGGGACACCTGCCAGGGCTGTCCCTGCCCACAGCCAGTCCCAGCCAGGGGTGCCCCAGCCGGGCAGCCAGCCCTGCAGCACCCCACACCTCCCAGGGCGGGTTTGGGTTTGTGGGATGCACAATCAGGAGCGCCAGGCCCTTTGGTTCACAGCATCATGCTGAAAACAGAAGGAAAATCTCCCTGCAGCGTGAAAAGAGGGATCTGGGAAGGGCAAGGCTGGCCATGATCCACGGCCAAGGTCTGGATACGGCCCCTCTTGGGGGTCCCAGCAGCCTCCCCAGGCTCAGGCTGGCAGAGCCCCCCGAGCTCCCCTGTGCCCCATCTCTGCCTTCCCTGGGCAGAGCAGGAACCCCGGGGGCTCCAGGACCCCAACTCCCAGCCAGCCCCAGCCCAAGACCTGCGGGGTACAGCAGCCACTGCTCTGCAGATGGATCCTGACCGAGACGCTGCAGCTGCAAGAGATGCAGGAACAGAGACTCTGGAAATGCAGGGGATGCACGGGGGGGTGCTGGTGGCGTCTGAGCTGCAGGAGGAGGTGATGGAGCTGCTGATGGAGGCACAGGAGCTGCAAAGGGACATGCAGGAGGTGCAGGAGCTGCAGAGGGGCAGGCAGGAGGTGCAGGAGGTGAAGAGGGAGATGCTAGAGATGCAGGAGGTGCAGAGGGAGATGCTGGAGATGCAGGAGGTGCAGGAGCTGCACAGGGACATGCAGGAGGTGCAGGAGGTGCACAGGGAGATGCAGGAGGTGCAGGAGCTTTATGTCCAAAAAGGAGACAGAGGAGAGCCTCGCAGGCAGCTCCGGGACCCTCTCCCCGGGCTCAGCTCCTGCCCCGGCACCGCCGGGCTCCAGCAAAGAGCGGAGCCACTGGAGGAGCCCTGCAGCACCCACTGCCCCCCGCCCAACCCCTGCCAGCCTCTTACAGCCCCTCCCGCCCACCCGTCAAAGCACCAGGAAGATCTGGAACATCTTCCCGCTGTTCCTCTTCCCTTCCCCTTCCCCAGCTGTCCCATTCACTCCAGACTGGCAGGAGAAGAGCTCCGTGTGATCCCTCCTGCTCTGTTCCACATTGTCGGGAAAATTCACCCACAAACACCAGAGGTTTATGTCCAAAAAGGAGACAGAGGAGTCCTTCCACTTTATTCGAATAAAGGGAGAGGCCATGAGGCATTCCCCTGGGGCCTCTCAAGTTTTTGGAGGATGCAGCCTCCCTTTTTATCCAATTTCCCACATTTCCCTTCTCTCTTTCCCCATTTCTGAGGTACTTGAGAGGTACCTCAGGTAAATTCCTGAAATCCCTGATACCAGAGATTTCCCTCTAATGTACAACCCTCATTTTTAATTTTTAATTCTTATGGAATTAAGGACATTTCCCCCCCCCCCCCCCCCCCATTGTTTCTTTCATCTTTCAACATCCAATTCCATTCACCAACAAACCTACAAACAAACCGCTGGTAAAGGCAAACACATTTTATCCATTCATCAATCAGTGGAATCCTTCCCATTGCTCCTTTGGTACTTTTACCCACCAGCCCGTTTGTGAGGACAAACCCGCGGTCTCTCTCGGCATCCTGAGCTCGTTCCCGAGCCGGGAGCTGCTCGGGCTCCGCTTGCGGGCACAGAGCCGGGGCAGGGAGCGGCCGCAGCCCGGGCTCGGCGGGGCTGGCTCCGGCCCCGACTGATGGGCGGCCTCGGGCCCCGAGAAACGCCAGTCGCTTGTTTGTAAAAATTGTAAAATTTAACAGTGATAAAGTGGTTAGGAAAAGAGTAATATAATTAGAGTAGTAAAAATTTGGACAATTTGGATTAGGACAATACGAGACGATAAGAACAAAGAGTTACGGATGGTCCGGGTACCTTTTCTGGGTAAAATAAACCTGAAAAGGGACACCCGTTAACAGAGGATTAACCCTTAAAGCCACAGCCTGTTGCAGATTCATACCCCTCACAGATGATGCATAAATTGCATTCAAACACGGGATTCTGTCTGGTCAGTGTCAGCTCCTTCCTCTGAATGCTGATGGCGTCTTCAGGGCTGATCGAGGCGAGAAGAACTCGATAATGGAGCAATAAATTCCTTTTCTCTGAAAGATTTAGGTGTCCTGTGGCTGCTATCTCGGTGCAAGTCCTCTCTTAAAAAAAGTATTTTACATAGCATAGTTTCTATTTTAACATTACCTTACAACTTAAAAATATATTTAACACACTACTAAAGGCAATTAACACAGCATAACTTTGTAACATAACACCTACAATATTAATTTCAATATTTGCGAAAAGCCTGTCATAAAATACGCATTTTTCACAGGCATGAACACCCACGCCAAGGACACCGGCACAGCAAAACATTTCCAACCCCGAAGCGGCACTCACTGGCTGCGGGGTGATTAAGGGTGTTTGTCTTTAGGAGCTTTGGCCGAGCGAGGCGCAGCGCCGGGGAAACGCTGAGTGCTCTGGAGAGAACAAACCTCATCACATGAGCCCCATTAGCTGGGATTCGGGGAATCGTGGAGCTGCTGAGGTTGGAAAAGGCCTGGAAGGTCGCCGAGTTCCCTGTGCTGGACAGGGCAGGGGAGCATCCCAGGGCTGCGCCCCGGACACGCAGAGCCCTGAGAAACGCCTCCAAAGAGGCTGGAGCCGGGAATCGGCCTCTTCTCCCCGGTGACAAGGGACACGATGACAGGGAACAGCCTCAAGTTTCTCCAGGGGAGGTTTAGGTGGGATATTGTGGAAAATTTCTTCTCCAAAAGTTTGCCCAGCCCTGGCAGAGCTGCCCAGGGCGGAGGTGGAGTCACCGCTGCTGGGGGGATTTAAAGGACGCGTGGATGTGGCACCTGGGGACATGGGTTAGAGGTGGGCTCGGCAGGGCTGGGTTGATCATTGAGCTTCATGACTCTTGAGGTCTTTTCCAGCCTGGTGATTCCATGGCTGGATCCAAGCACAGCCCACGGTCCGGCTTCAGCCTCTGCTTGCCGCGGAACCAGCTCCGTGCAGCGCGGCCCCAGCACCCCCTGCCCTGCACCCCTGGGCAGAGCAGCCTCCAGCACACGGAACTCCCCCGACAGCAGCCCGGGACACGAAATCCACCTGAACCGTGTCCAAGAAAAGAATTTTATAAAGGAACCCTCCAAAAAAAAAAAAAAAAAAAAAAACCGGGCCGGGGACGGGAGCGGCTCCCTGGCACCACCCTGTGGGGACACCGGGAATTGCAGCCGGGGACCCCTGCGAGCCCGGCGACAGTGGGCTCCTGTCCCCACTGCCCCCTGCGACCCCGGCGACAGCGGGCTCCTGTCCCCACTGCCCCCTGCGACCCCGGCGACAGTGGGCTCCTGTCCCCACCGCCCCCTGAGACCCCGGCGACAGTGGGCTCCTGTCCCCACTGCCCCTGAGACCCC